GTGCTGTATCAAGTTCTTTCGGAAGTCAAGGTGAGGCTGAAGGCAAATATTTACTCTTCACTGGCAGCTTCCTCATTAACAAGGCCTTGGTAGAGAGGCTTGGTATGTAAGGCCAAACTGTGTCCAACCAGTGTCACCTTGAGTGAACCTGGCCTCCAGTGGCGCTCCAGCCCTGCTATCTCTGTCTTGTGCTAAGTTACATATTTACACATCCGTCAGATCCTACTTAACTGGAACTGCTGACTCCCTTATATGTAAAAGCCTCTTCAGAGTTACTCACTGAGTTTGGCAAGTGTTTTATAGCGGAAATGGGTGTGTTCATTTAGAGCTAACCCATGAATGAAAAGAGCTACTGTGACAACATATTGGTTACAGACTGCCCTTCACATCCAAACAGGAAGGACTGTTTCAGGCAAACAGTGTCACCTTTGGATTTTGAAACTAACAAATACAGTATACAGCTGGAAAACAGGAGAAGATTATGGTCTTCATTTTATTATTGTTTACTGGCTCAGCTTTAAGATAATGCAGAGCACAACAAAAACTGAACTAATGTCTAGAGATGCACCAGTTTCAACTTTCTTGGCCAGATCTGTTTGTTTTTTTTGTTTGTTTGTTTGTTTGTTTTAAGTCTGACCTACTCATTCCGATTCGCTTTCTTTCTAGAAACTATAATTGACAGCATACAGACATTTTTGTAACTTTAATGAAAAATGAAATTGTAATAACAAAACATATTAAATTTTTACAATTACAGCTTTCCCTCACTTTTTTCCAAACTTCCAACTAGAAGTGAAGTGCAGTATTCTAACTTCTCCAAATATAAACAAATGCAAAAGGTACTGGAAATAGAAGAATGTCTGTTACTGGGTTCTTTTTGAAGTGTGTGTAGTTTGGATTTGCTGTGTTTACTACAGGTTGGATACACTACATATACATGCATTTCATGTGTAGCCAGTAACTCCCTCATTATGTATTCTTTGTCATAGACGTGGACGTAGCTTCCCCTTCTCCAAGATGTTTTTGTAGGCTCCTCTCTGCACTCTTTGCACACTACGTGCTTATAATACATTAATGAATACACGCATGGTACAGACGCAAGCGAGATACTACATGCTGCTCAAGCTACACTTTTGGTCTGTGCCACTGCGTGTGTGACATGGACTGTCATGCCTCTAAATCTGACCGGCACAAAATTGGAAATCTCAGAGTGATCGGCCGGTAACCAATCAAGGCGACGTGTAAAGCACATTGCAGAAACAATGCCCACCTGTAACGTTATCCTTTGCAGAACAGTAATAATGGTAGATGAATGGGAGATGCTTAAATCCACCATAAAACTGGTGCAAAGCTCCCGCTTCGAATGGGAAGTGTAAAAGGGAATTTTGTGAAGCTCTTTTATAGGATGTGGATGCCATCATTTAGCATTTTTAATACTGTCAGCATAGTCTGTCTCTGAATGCTTTGACATCCCTGACCTGTCTGTGGGTCTCAGCATGAAGCACACTGTTTCCTTCCTCACGAATATATCATTTCATTTTACAGTAAAATGCTCAGTAATTGGGCATTGTAGCTTTTAGCAAATGTTCCTCAAACAGCAGGGAAGTGTTTGTTGGGGATTACAGCTGCAAATGAATCCAAATTTGGTGCTTCACTGTATGTTGCCAGCTGTTGGGCAGTTTATTTTGGCCTAACTCAAAACAAACGTCATATTCATTATTATGAAGGAACATGTCACTCAGTGCAACAATGTGTGTCACCGATGCTTTAATAGGGTTTGACAACTGTTTAGCTCTCTGGTGCAGAGGAACAGGATATATCAAGCTTTGACATATTGTTAGTCGGATCAGTTCATTGATGGCTGTGGTCATTTTATGGGATTTGTTGTTGGGGGTGAATTTTACCAGACTTCTTCTTTAAGACATGGATGTGATAAAGGACATTTTGGCAAACAAAGCTTGATAGTAAGCCTAACATAAATCATACAAGTCATCCTGTTGCTGTAAAACATTTAACACCATTACTTATGTGATGACACATATATTGAGCTGCCTGTCAGTTTCTGGTGAACGTCTGAGCCCACTGCCTCATTTTCCCCATTATTTTCCACCAGCACATTCACACGCTGCATATTCTGAGAAATATTAGCTTCAAAGCCAAAATTCATTTCCTCAGAACCCCTACTTGGCATTATACTGCAACAAACATGGCAAAGTGTAAAACAAACTCGCCCACACCCACCTCATACATATATTATTTATAAGTCATCTTTTATCTCTGCAGTGCCATTGTTGGCATGTTTGCCTTGAATGCGGGCAGCAGTGAGTTTCACTGTTTGATTCTGTCTTTGCAGTGGCCCAGTGGTGATGATGAAGTCAGGAAACTAGAAAAACTTGACTTCATAGTTCTGTAATGAGAATGACCTAAGACTTGTGGAATGGCCTGAGAATGGTATCACTCCTCCTCTGCACTCCTCTGCTTCTCTCTGTGAATTATCTCTGATATGTGACCATCATTCTCCTTTTACCTTCTGGTGTTGTTTCACTCCTGAGACCATCTAGGCTCAAACTTTGGTTTATAAACTGATAACTCAGCTCATTGGCAGGTTTTCTTCAACAAACCCTGAGTTTCTGAGCGTCCCCTCCCCTACAGCCCATCATCATGGCCTTGAGGAGATGTTGGACATGTTGTTTCATTTCCTTATTGATCCAAGCTCATTAATGTTCAGAGATTCATTTTAAATAGAAGGAGCTCAAAACCTCACGGGGATATTAGATCATCCTCTGAGGACTATGTTTACTGAGGTTTAACCACTGTTGTTGCACTGATATCTTTTTAAACAACGATCTCTCACTCTCAGTTCAGAATAAATGCAGTAACTGTTGTTTAGAAGGGCAGGTTTTCTTATAACACGTTCCTCTGTATACACTAAGGTGCAGTTTGTAAGATCTAGAAGGCTATTAAGAGAAATGGGCTATATCATGTATAACTGTTTTCATTAATGTGTAATCACCAGAAAATAAGAATCTCTGCATTTTCTTTAGCTTAGAATGAGCTTTTTATATCTACATAGGAGCAGGTCCTCTGCTGTGGAGGCCGCCATGTTGAGCTGCCATGTTTTTTACAGTAGCCTAGAATGGACAAACCATGTGGAAATAGCAGCTTGGATTGGGAGATGGTTGGAAGGTGAAAAGAAGTAACATTAGAGGAAGCACTGTTGGGAGTTTAAGAACTATAATTTGTTAAATGGAGGATAATCAAACATTAACACAAGAAAAAGGACTACGATGAATCCCCGTCGTCAAAGAAGCAACAGCGTGAAGAATGTTTTAAGGTGAACTGTGGTCAAGTGAGTCATCGATTGCAAAAGACCCATCAAGCCAGCTGCCGTTCAACTTTTGTTCTTTTCATGCAGTTGCAGTAAGAGTACCTGGAGCGACCTAAATGGATGCTTAAAGTCTGACTGAGAGTTCACTGATAGGCCTAATGAATAAGATTGTATTAATTCCCATCTTAATGGGCATTCAGCCTCCTTGAAAATTACACTGTGGTCCATTGAGTGGCTGTTAGCTTTTGCTTGGTCAAGTCAGTCACACTTGTTTTCTGAGTGCACAATTTGCCCTGTATTTACGGTAATCACTGTGAAACTGTGACAGCTGTTGAACACAATGTACTGTATGAAAGCTTTGCTGAATGCTGCAGTCTGCAACCTCGCTGCTAGATGTCACTGAATACCGCACCTGTAAGACAATTCTCAGGCACTGCTGGGACAGTCTTGTCAGATATATCATACCGAAAGTAGTTAGCTATCATCCTTAAAAGAATTCAAGTCAGGAACTGTGTGGGCATCACTAAATAAAACTTACATGCAAGTCATGCGCCCACAGACACGCCCTTTATTTACCTGTTGTCATGGTGAATTGCATTAGCAAAGTTTTTTTTTTTTTGTTTTCATCACTTTGCACAGGATTAACTCAGAGTGAGGAGTTTTCAGTCTCTGGATTTGTTTCTCCACTTTCTGGAACAGGCCCTTTGATACTGCTATAGTAAAACCCCCTATTTTATGACCAGCACCAACCCAGCCCCTCTTCCCCTCTGCATTCTTTTTCTGTTTCACTCATTCTTTCTCCTTTTCACTCTCTTTTCAATCTCTTTTGTCAGCTTAGTTTCCAGGACACCCAAATAAAAGAGCTTCTGTTGAGTTCAGCTCTGACAATGAATCAGACATGGGTTAGTCATTTGACATTTATTCAAATTAAATGCTCATGATTTGATCTTTGGAGGAGCATTAGCCTCACAGATTATATTTACTGAGGTGAGGCACTGACACTTCAGAACAACATGAAGCTACTCAATAGTGAGTCAGTTGGCCTTGTCAGCTGATCTGGCTATATGAGATTGGAGCCTGAATGGCTCCTCCCTGTGGTCAGAGATTGATACTGCATGACGAGAGACATTTCCTGGAAATGAACTGGTTTTAGTGGGCGGCGATGTAGGCTTGGCAGTCAGGACAACAGTGGGAAAGAATGTCAGCAGAGAGAGCTGTTCTGCAGGGATCCACTGCAGGAGTGATGGTATGCCTGGAGGAGGGGGGTTCAATGGAAAGTTTTTAAAGTGAGAGCTGTGGCTTCTCGCTCTGGAGTAATCAGTAAGATCTTGTTGTTACTGTGCACAGCACTGATGCTGATAGCATTTGGGGCTTTTTGCTACTTGTGATGACACCTTACCTGTATGATGACTGTAGTGGAGGGAAATTTCCCGTTGTGACCGTATGGGCTGTGACAGTTATACAGATATCTAGCTGTAGGCGTCTCAGCAGCCTGAAGACCTTTATAGAAGGGAATCTACCAGACTCTCTAAACCTGCCTGTGACTTTTTCTTTGTTTGTTTTTTTGAATGGGTAGTTCTGGGAAGTGTGCATGTCTGTGTCTGATTTCATCTCACACAGTCAGAAGCTGGTGTTAACCATTTCCTTTCACTTTTCCTCGTTTGTATCCCAGGAGCGCTTTGCTGAACTCTTTGGGCAGGATGCGGCGGCAGAGAACAGGAGGTCTCAGGAGAGCTTCAAGAAGTGGCTGCTGGCGGGGATGACCCTGGTGACCGGCGTCGTGGTGGGCTCACTCATCATCCAGAAACGCCTGTGAGGGGAGACAGGGGACAGCCCGACTGACACTCTTCTCCCATGAGCCTCTCCACTTGCCTCCTTCAGTACCCTCAACCTGCACACCACAGGAGTTGAAATGAAGGTCTTTTTTGTCTGAACTGCTCATGATGTTTACTTTTTGTCCTCCCCGCACATCCCAAAGTGGATTGAGGATCCTCACAAGTTATTGAACTTTTGAGAAAGAGACAGAGAAGAGGAAGAGTTGCTAGTATTCATATGTTCACCTTATTCCATTCTGAAAAAATGCATATTCTTTGAACCAGGTGTTTCTTTTGTTCCTTTCTTCCACGTGTTCTTGTATTATTTTTCCTTCTGTGTGTATGTGTGTATTAGTTTTAACCAATTTTTTTTCCATTTTTATTCTTGTAGAGTGTGTTGTGGGGCCTGGGCTACTCTACATGTCTCATCTTGTATTGCTGTATGTCCACACACAGCTCTACAATAGTTTTGTATGTGCCATATGGAGAATGAAAGCCAGGGAGGGGGCGCACCCACGCCTAAACATCTTCAGTAGCCCCCGCTTCCTGCCACCAACACCTGCAGTATCACAGTCCAGGACTCCATACACTGCCCTGTCCTTCATGATTATCGGTTTCTTACAAATGGTAAATCAAAAGGAGTTCAACAGATTTTAGTTAATACAACATGGAAGTCAAATTAAAAATGTAGTAAAACCCCCACTGCTCATGTTGGTCTGTGCTGTATGGTCATACTTGGTCTCAGTTTAATCCTGTTTGTGTTTAGTCAGCCTGCTGACTTCCACACTACTGTAACTGCAGCTTATACGAGCAGGGCACCACGTCTCAGACCCTCCATGTTTACTACACAGTAGCGGAAGAACGCAGCAAATACTGTAGCAACACATACAACAGATAGAGCGGCACCGGCCCCAGCGACACTCAGACTACAGCAGAAAGATTCTATAATCTTATGAGTCTTATGGGTTGGATATTTCGGTGTAAAGCTGTTTTGGTTGCACGTAACGTTGACCCCCACCCCTGCATTTAGCAATTATGAACAATATAAAGACAAGTTAATAAATGGATTCTAACACAATCTAATACATTTTTATTAATGTATTTTTCATCATGTTTAACTTCTGCTATGAGGCACCAGTTACAGCAAAGAATGGTTGAGAATATAACAGTTTCCACCACATTGGCAGTTTATTAGGAACACTTAGCTAAGACTAATGCAGTCTGAGCCAATCCTCCTCCATGAGGTGATGTTCCATTTTTGTTGAAGGCGTTGAATCAACTGGGCGATCATTTTGGAGGATGCACTTTCTGCTGCTGTTGAACTGTGCTGCATTATACACACAGACCTTTTCTAATTATTTAGGCTGGTTAAATAACAGAAACCCCTCTTTGTGGACCTTTCAACAAAACCTGATCATTTTACAAGCCATACACAAGCAGGTTGGACACTGAAAAGATCAGAGCTCAGAAATAGTAAATTCTTCATTCGAAGTCCAATGCTGATATTTAACAAACGGCTGGTCTTGATATAAATTCTTTTTTCCTGTTGTTTTTTTAGTTGTGACTAAGATACATATTGAGTGTGGAATTTGGAAAAATGAGCCTGTCAGTGCACACTGCTGGACAAACTAATTATTGGTAATGCCGTCTCAAAATTAGCTTGGTATTTCTCTACCACAATTTCCTGTTATCGAACAAGACAAAGATGTATCTACGTATTGGCAATTTATCACTCTAGCTCTGCTGCATGTAGTAACAGTTTTTCACAGCGTTTCATAGACTATTTAAATCTCATACAAGCTCATACAGTATGAGGTGATTTATTGGGCTGGCTAATAACTGTTTTATGCTCAATCCTTTATCATCTGGGCAGGTAGTGATGCTGTGCAGCAGAAGTTATAATTGTTGAAAAATTACACTAATAAAATGTTTGTCCGATTACAGCTACATGAGGCAAATCCATTGGTTCCAGCTTGTCCAGTGTAGATTTACGGCTGTTCACTGTACTGATACTAATAAACTGAACATCCTGGGAAACTGTGATACACATTTCACTATTTTGTGGACTAAACATTAATTGAGAAAATAAGCCACAACTGCAGCCACATTTGTTTATATACGCTTCTGAATGTGGGGTGTTATGGGTTAAAATGGTGTCACTGATCATTTGTGATCAACTCCTAATCGTGTGCTCTAGTGGTTAGAAAACGTTTTCTGCAGGGGGATTTTTTCCACTATGTGCTAATCCAATAATCATTTCTTGTTTTTTTTAACCATTAGTCAGATACTATCACACAATTCTGCTTCATCTTATCAGCAGAGGGCAAATCCTGGCCTATTGAACGGTCATGTAGCAAACTCCTGAAGCAGCTGCCTTTCAGGAGACAATGCGGTTCTGCATCACAAGTTGAGTTAAAGTCGATAAGAAATGTCATACTGTGTCTGTTCGCCATCTTAAGCGAATCACTGTCAGTGGCTGTAGGAGCGTAAAACCTTCATGTCTAATCTCGGTCTCGCTCTCCAAGTTATCCATGCATTGCTCTCACAGTCAATCCACCCCCACTTCTCCCTAGACTCCTCAAATCTGTCAAATCTCCATCCATCTCTCCTCCTGTTTCCCTCTCCATCCAGCTCCACCTCTTCCTTTGCAGTCCCCCGGCTGTCACTGCACCTAGTCACGTGTATCAGTCACAGCTGGCCCACCTGCTACTTCACATAAACACACCTCGGCATGCACGCATACTTGTCAGGTACACACCTGCCAGCCAGTCCATGAGAGAGAGCGAGGAGGAGGCCTCGTCTTTGTTTTTAAACATCGTTCCATCTTTCATTTAAAGCCGTGTTTGTCGCCTTTCACGCATCGACAACTGGCAGCTCCATTAATTTACTGGGAAAGGTGGGGGCCCTCATTCATGTTCCCAGTATCTACCAACTGCTTCAAATGTGATCTTATTCCAAATCATGTCTCCAGCTAAGAACAGTATGTCCTGGTGTGTTACAGCAGCACAATAATACAAACCACAGGTGCCCTTTTCTCATCAAACACAGGTTCAGCACTAGATTGAACTGTGTGGAACCACGGACAGTAAACATTAAAGGAAGGGGGTGCAAAAAAAAAAAAAAACCAAGAATTTCCACGCGAGTCATCTGTCACCACATTATCAGTGCAGCTGTGTCTCCATCTTCAAAGCAGGGCTCATCTCTAACAGACCTGTACATCGGCAGACATGGATTCCTCATTCAAAAGTCATGGTTGTTGATTTTGGAAGAGATGTTTCACCAAATAACTGCATTGAATACTGATGAGCATCACCCTCAAAATGCTTGTGTCTTGGGCATCTTATTAGTCAAGGTCTGCTCTC